CGAGTGCCCTACCCTCTGTACTATCGCTCCAGCCCCTGGATGTTACATTTTTTTTTTAAAGCAAATCATCTCAGAGCTGGAGATATAGTATAGTGGGCAGAGCATTGGCCTTGTACGTAGCCATCTCAAGTTCAATCCCCAAAAGCTATACACGGTCCCCCAAGCACCACTCAGGAATGACTGGTGAGTGTAGACCCAGGAGTAAGCTCTGAACATTGATGGGTATGGCTCATCTCCCTCACAAAAAAAAAAAATGATAATCTCTACTGACTGTTTTTTCTTCCTCCTAGTCATCAGTAAAGTACACAGGGGAGTGAAAAGCAGTTGCACCAAGTGTGGTGGTGTTGTCTGGAGTGGATGGGGAGCGGACTACAGGTTTAGAAGGCATGCAATCTTTGTGGTGGAACTAAAGCAGGGCAGGTAGGAATTTCCTGCCCTCCCGAGCAAGACTGACAGAAATGCCTCTGTGCATATCTGGATCCAGCCCTTCTGGAAGGTGAGTTCTCACACACCTTTTTTGTTTTGTTTTGATTTAGGGGCCACATCCAGTGGTGTTGGAGGTGGCAGGGATCAGGCTCTAGGCCTCACAGACGGTAGGTGTGAGCTCTGTTACTTGCACTATCTCTCTAAACCAAGTGCGTGGCTTTGAGACCTATAATTAGGGCCGACCCTGACAGGGTGACGGTGGGCTTGGTCTGGTGAAGCCTGAGGTACCCCTGAGCAATAGGGGGATGAAGCTGAAAAGTTAAGCTCCCGAGCTTCAGAGACAGTTCAAAAGGCTGGCACGTACTTGGCATATAGTAAGCCCACGTTCAATCCCTGGCACTACACGGGCTCCTAGAACTCTAGGCAGGAGTGACCCCCCCCCCCCCGACCACCACCAAGTATCAAGCTTGGAGTAGTCCCTGAGCTCTGCTGAGTGTGTTCCAACTTTCTCCTCCAAAAGAAAAATAATTCAAATTCCTGGAGACATGAGGGAATTATGAAAAACAGTGATGAGAAGAAAGGAATTTTAGAGGTGGTACACGGTTCAATTTCTCCAATCAATAATGGGGTGACTCTGAAAGAATTAATTTTCAGAAAACAAGTACAGAGTGGCAAAGGCAGGCAGCACTTATAGCCATAATCCCTTGGATGTTTCAGCCAGTGGCTGCTAATACACCATGAACTGAAGTGACACGTAAGCTGGAGAGGTAGTTCAATGGGCAGAACATATACTACGCACACAAGAGGTGTAGGCTTGAGCCCCAATATCTCATAGTCCTCAGAGCACCATGGGAGTGAGCCCCCTGAGCAAAGAGCCAGGTGTATCCCCCAAACTCCAGGAAGTAGACTTATGTTCACCTCAGGGTAAACAAGTTAAAAGCTGCGCTCTCTCTCTCTCTCTTTCTCTCTCTCTCTCTCTCTCTCTCTATATATATATATATATATCTCCCTCCCTCTCTCTCTCTCCCTCCCTCCCTCCCGCTCTCCCTCCCCACTCCTCCACTTTCCACAGAGAACTTAGAAGCTATGTGCTCCAGACAGCACAACTGAACATGACATGTGGCCCTGGTCCATGACCTTGAGAAGGACACAGGGTAGGAGGCCAACCCAGGATGTGCTGTGGGTGAGAATGAAATAAACAATCAATTGGGGGTTATATGTTACTGAGTGTACATTAACTTATCATGACTGTTAGAAACTATAAAACCACCTTGGCTGAATGATAGGATTAAATAAGATGGCGGATGAAAACATTGAAAGACGGTGCCTAGAGGAGGAAAAAAATATTTGTTTCCCAGGAAATATTTGTTTTCTTCTCTATTTTCACTGACTGGGTCTTGGCTGAAAGAATTCCCATCCAGGAACTGTTTAAAACCCCTTTATGATAACATCTTCACATGGAAATTTAAGAGAGGCAGGATTCACACACAGTCAGGCCACTGGAGGCCTTCAGAAACCCAGAGGGCTTCTATCACCCACAGACAGTAGTGCGGAGTGTCTGCAGGACTGAAAATCAACTCCCATCCCCTAGACTCTAGGAAAAAGAGAGTGTTAGGGAGATACTATTTAGTTTTTTGTTTTTTTATTTTGGCGGTCGATGGCCAGCAAGTTTGCAGAAGCTGATTTGGTAATGTTTCCCAGAAATTTTCATGAGAGCATGCTGTTATTCATAAAGAATGCTCCAGCCAGGAGACAGCTCAAAGGGCTGGTTACATGTTTTGCTTGTGGGAGGCCCTGGCTCAGATTGGTTTCTGAGCACCTCTGGGAGCAACTTCCAAAGACTCAGTAGTAGCCTCACCCCAGAACTGGACATCTATGTGTGTGGGGTGGGGAGGGGAAGGTTCAAATGCCCACCAAATAAAGAGGAAAAAGAAAAAAAGAAAAGAAAATACACCCAGGAACTAGCTCCAATAATCAGCCTCCTCTGGTTAAAACTTTAAGACATAGCTTAGAGCAATAATGCAGATTAGAAAGGAAAACTTAAGGGGCTGGAAAGATAATATACCTGGTTAGGTGTTTGCCTTCCACACAGCGGACAACCCCAAGTTCTATCTTATATGCTCTCTTGAGCTCACTTTCCCAGGGTGATCCTTGAGCACAGAGCCAGACCAGAAGTAAGCTCTGAGCCAGCTGGCTGTTTGGGTGTTGCCCAAAAACCAAGAAAAGAAAAGGGAAAGGAAAGGAAAGGAAAGGAAAGGAAAGGAAAGGAAAGGAAAGGAAAGGAAAGGAAAGGAAAGAAGGAAAGGAAAGGAAAGGAAAGGAAAGGAAAGGAAAGGAAAGGAAAGGAAAGGAAGGAAAGAAGAAAGGGAGAGAAAGAGAAAGAAAAGAAAGAAAGAAAGATGAAAAGAAGGATGAAAACCTAATAACCTGAGGGTTCTAATACAGAAGCAGCTTTGCCTGTTCCCACACACAGGTCCCACTGTTGGGAAAGGGCTAATTCAGGAAACTGTCCCTTCTTCCCAGAGCTATTTCAACTTTCATTTGGGCTGCTGGATTGGCCCGATTCTGGTTCAGTCCCAGATCCTTTATATTTCCTGTCTGGTATAAAAAAGTTGGGGGAAAATGAGCACTAAACTCAGTCTTGGCAAGGCTTTCTGGCATACATTTCCCGAGGATTTCTCTGGATGCACATTGGAGTGATGTAGCTATTAAAAGTCAGCCCTACCTCAACAATCAGACAGAAAAGCTATAATCATCCCCAGGCATTTCTAAGGGGCCTTTAAAAGAACATCATTCATTCTGAAAACAGCACTTCCCTACCAACACTTCTAATTATAGTCTTGATGTTCCTATTTTATGCTGCAAAGTTCCTCTGCCATTTAATGGAGAGAAGGGGGAAGCCTGACATTTTAAAACATATATATATACACATATACATACATATATATATATATATATATATATATATATATAACAGATGGGCTGGAGAGATAGTACAGTGGGTGGGGTGCTTGCCTTGCACACAGCTTACCTGGATTTGATTCTGGCACAAAATATGGTCCCCCCCAGCCCCACCAGGAGAGATCCTTGAGCGCTCGGCAGAGCCAGTAGTCAGCCCTAAGCACTAAAGGGTGTGCACTGCCTCCCACCCCCACCCCCAAACCACCACATATAACTGAGTAGCCTAAGTACATGTGTGAGTTCGCTTTCAGAAACTAAAGCCAACGGGAAACAATTAAAAAATAAAAAGCCTTTTTTCTCCCCATATTGTTTCCCCCTCCTTTGCCCACATGCTGTGTCGGCAAAAGGTGATGAATCCTAAAATTTCCCAGGACTATTCACTTGCAGTTTGGATATGTGAAAATCCGGAAGGAAACACCGCGGGTTTCCAAGGCAAGGCTAGAGCTGACACCTATTAGGGCCTAGCCAAAAGGTCTAAAGCTCTGCATGGAATAATAAATGCAAAGCAGAGAAATTCTGGGCAAGGTGGTGTCTCCAGTTCATTAGATGCCCAGGGGTATCTTCAGGTCATTGTTTAGATTGTCAGGAAATGTCCCACCTCCATCTTTTTTCTTATTCCAGCCAGCTGGTCAGGCCCTGGGACCAAAGTTTCCCCTGGTTCATCTCATGCATCTTGACTTAGGACAGAGAAATTTATTGTAACAAGAAGAGTAAATAAGGCCCACAGAGAGGAAGCAACTGCTGCCCGGGCCTGAGCTCCATCTGCTTCCAACTCAGGGCTAGAGAGGCCAGGGGAAGTAAAAAGGATGATTAGGCACACTAATTTTACTCATCACTCATGAACTCTCACTCCCTTAAAGGAAGCCAGGGCATAGAACTGGGGGATACCCTTTCCGGATGCCAGAAGAAGAACTCACTTGGTCTTGAGTTGTTATTCGTTGACTGCCTCGAGCAGGCCCCAGTAACGCCTCCTTCATCCTAGCCCTGAGATTATATTCAAGGCTCTTTAGGAGAATGAGACCCATCATTGTTACTGGTATTTGGCATATTGGGTGCGCCACGGGGAGTTTGCCAGACTCTGCCGCGCGGTAGCCTGCCAGTTTGTTCTTGAGTTGAGGAGGAAACAAATGGAGATAGTAAGTGGGTACAGAAAGGTCTTCATGTGCAGGACGAATTCCCAGCCCACTGCAGCCCCACTCCGTCTGGCAGGGACTAGGAAGCTGGTGGCTGCGGCGCTCCCAGACCCCCCACCCCCCAACACACACTCTTGAGTGGAAAGGGGAGAAGGGGCAGATACTCGCACCAGCCGGTCCCCACCAGTCGGGCAGTGGAAAGGCTGCCAGCTTCAAGCAACCAGGTTCCACCTTTGAGCACCAGTACTGAAACCCTCCCCGGGAGCCTCGCGGGGCCGGGAGCAGAGTTCTTGGCGTGCGCTCTCACGCGCCCCTTCTGGGGAGCTTTTTGGGGAGCTGACCCGAAGCTCCCGGAGAACTCACAGCTCGCTGCCGACCGACCCGAGAGTGCAAGAGAGGCCTGCCAACCTTCCCTGCCGACGAGTCCCTTCCCCTCGCCACCCGCACCCGAAGGACCCGCATTCCTCAACCCGCGTTCACCTGCGCGCTCGTCGCCGGCAACGGCAGCACAGCCCGGCGGCGGCGGCCGAAGCGCAACTTGGCCGCCTTGTAGATCTTCCAGTAGACGAAGAGGACCACGGCCAGGGGCAGGTAGAAGGCGCCGCAGGTGGAGACGACGGCGTAGGCGGGTTCCTGGCTCACCTGGCAGCGCAGCAGCCGCGCGTCGTAGGCCTCGCCCCAGCCGAAGAGCAGCGGCGCCAGGGCGATGAGCGCCGAGAGCGCCCAGGTCAGCGCGATCATGAGCGCCGAGGCGCGGCTGCGGGCGCGCAGCGTGTACTGCAGGTGGCGCGTGATGGTCCAGTAGCGGTCCAGGGCGATGGCCGCCACGTTCCAGATGCTGGCGGTGCAGCACAGCACGTCGAAGGAGATCCACGCGTGGCACAGGCTCCGGCCCAGGCGCCAGCGGCGCCCCGCCGACAGCTCGCTCACCAGGCTCAGGGGCATCACCAGGGCGGCCACCAGCACGTCCGACACGGCCGTCGAGGCCACCAGGTTATGCGGCACGCGGTGGAAGGCGCGGACGCGCAGGATGGTGACGAGCACCAGCAGGTTCCACAGGAAAGTGGCCGCGATCAGCAGCACCAGCAGTGCCACCACCAGCACGGTGAAGACGGAGGAGGGCGGGTCTCGGGCCGGCGCCGTCGGGGCCTCCCCGCCCGGACCCGGGCTGCTGCTGCTCGCTGCGGGGCCCGGGGAGAGAGCGACGCCCGCAGCGGCGCGGGAGAGGTTCGCTGCGTCCATGGCGCGGCGCTCCGGGGACCCGCTGCCCTGCCCGGAGGATGCGCGCGGCGCTCCGGGTACCAGCTCCCCTGCCAGGGGGATGCGCGCGGCGCTCCGGGGACCCGCTCCCCTGCCCGGGTGATGCGCGCGGCGCTCCGGGTACCAGCTCCCCTGCCAGGGGGATGCGCGCGGCGCTCCGGGTACCAGCTCCCCTGCCAGGGGGATGCGCGCGGCGCTCCGGGTACCAGCTCCCCTGCCCGGGTGATGCGCGCGGCGGTCTGGGGACCCGCTCCCCTGCCCGGGGATGCGCGCGGCGCGGGCGCTCGGCGGACGCTCCAGGTGGCGGGTGGGAGCGCAGGCAGCGGCCGGGAAAGCGCGGGCCTCGCTCCAGCCCTCTTCTGGCCACCTCCGCCTGGGCCTCTCGTCCAGGAGAGGAGAGGGCCAGGGTGAGTCCCCTCCGGAGGTCGGCTCGGTGCGCCGCGCCCGCCCACCTCTCGTCGCGGTCCCCGCGGCGACCGGCTGTCACCGGGCTGCGCATCCGAGAGCGCAGCCGGGAGTCGGCCGCCGGCCCGGCGGGGAGCGTTGCCTCGCTCCCACCCCCACCCCCCTCTCGGCGGCCCTGGAGCAGACCTGCGGCGCCCGAGTCAGCTGCCCGCGCGCTGCCCCGCAGCTAGCTCCCCGGCGCGCCGGACCGAGAGGGCCCGAGCTGCGGGAGTCTAGACACCGCGTCCCCACCGCGTGGGGATTCCTCCTCCTCCTCCTCCCCCTCCTCCTCCCCCTCCTCCTCCTCCCCCCTCCTCCCCCTCCTCCTCCTCCCCCTCTTCCTCCTCCCCCTCCTCCTCCTCCTCCCCCTCCTCCTCCTCCCCCTCCTCCTCCTCCTCCTCCTCTTCCCTATCCTCCTCCTCCTCCTCCTGTCCTCCTCCTCCTCTTCCCTCTCCTCCTCCTCCTCCCTGTCCTCCTCCTCCTCCTCCTCCTGCTCCTGTCCTCCTCCTCCTCCTCCCTGTCCTCCTCCTCCTCCCTGTCCTCCTCCTCCTCCCTGTCCTCCTCCTCCTCCACCTCCTCCTCCTCCTCCTCCTCTGACCCCTAGCACCCGCCTGCTGGAGCCGTTTGACTCCGGATACAGAAGGGTCGACCCTCTCCGCTCTTGAGCACTCTTGTTTCCGGCCCTGGGTCCTACAGGTACCCGAAAGAAAAGGGGCATAAAATAGGACGCGCGAGGACCGCGCGGTAGTACAGCGGTAAGACGCTCCCTTGCGTTGCTCGCGACCGACCAGGGTTCCATCCATCACCGGTACACGATTTGGTCCTCCAGGTCGGCCCAGAGTGATCCCTGACTGCAGAGCCAGGAGTAAATCCAGAGCGCTCCTGGGTGTGTCCCCCTGCTCCCCCCAAATTAGAAAAACAGAACAGAACAAAACTGGGAGCGCCAGGAGCCCTGCGGGGAGGGTTGCGGCTCTGCAGAAAGAACTTGGTTCCTCAGGCTGCACAACTTCTTTCCCATCCCCGTCAGACACTCATTTCTCACCTCCCCTTCTCTTCAGTTGCTCACTACCCTGAGTCTACCTCTTACAAGCGTCCCAGTTCTCCTGATCCAGGTTATTTACTTTTGATCTTTGGGACAAAGGGAAAAACACCCGCCAGCAAGGGAACATTTCCTTCACTCTCCACCGCCTCCTGCCTCCTGTCTGTCTCTTACATTCCTCAATCGCAGTTCCGGGACAGCAGATATGGTATAGGAATTAAGGTGCTCGAGTGAGGACCCAAGTTCCATCCCCTGCATCACAAGATCCCCTAAACACAGAGCCAGGAGAAGTCCCTGAGCACCTCCTGGTGTGGCTGCAACCTCTTCACTAAGTAACTCAGTCATGACTACAATCCCTAAAAAGCAACATTGTTTCTTTTTCTGGGAGGAAAGAGAAACATTGACTTCCTTCAACCCTGCTCATTTGTCAGAGACGTGTGAGCAACAAACACCCTTTAAAGATGAGCCAGTCTCTCCATTGCTTCCGTTTAAAGCAGAAGTGCTTGGCCCCCTTCCCCCAATTGGATGCTCCCACTCTGTAGCACAGCCCACAGAATGCGATGTCCACCATGGCCTCTTTCCATCACCCCTAGAAATCAGGGGGAGCTGACACAAATGAACGTGGAACACTGGCTGCAATTTTTTTTGCCCAAAGTACGAAAATCCTTTGACACTAATTAGGGAGTCTAACATCTTCCTACTGCATCTAGGAAACAGTAACCAGGTAACTTGTCAGCTTGTAAATGTTTCAGAGTTTCAGTCTGCACAGGATGCATTGCTGATTTTTAACGTTACAGTCAGCAGGATTATTTTTCCCTCTTGCCATTATTTCTTTGATGCATTTTCTTCACTTTTTTGTTTTGTTTTGGGGCCACACCCAGTAACATTCAGGACTTACTCCTGACTCTTCACTCAGCAATTACTCTTGGTGGTCCTTAGGGGACCAGACGGGATCCTGGGAATTGAACCCAGGTTGGCCACATGGAAGACAAACCCCTTCCCACTGTACTATCTTTCCAGCCCCAGTTTCTTTCATACACCTGCTATCAAAGTTACGGCTGAGTGAAAATACAGGGAAACTATGATTATTCTTGTCACATATTTTCCAAATGTATCTCAGAGAGATCAAATGCATTCACTGCTTTCTTGGCCCTGGCTTTGGAGAAACAAGAAAGACTGCCTGTCCAAAATTAATTTCTTATAATTATAAAAAATTAATTGTTGTCTAATGAGATTTAACAGCTCTAATTTGCATTTCTTTAGTGGCTAAAAAGGCCATGCTTTACTATCTGGTAATTTACTATCTTTATATCCCTCCAAAGGCTCTTTGTTCTCCTTTAACTACTTTTCACAGAAATCTAGGCACTGACCTTGTGACTATTAATTGATTTTAATAGAATTAGAGAACAGATTCATGTCAGTGCTGCTATCACATACTGCTTTCTCTGTCACTCCTGTCTTTGCATTTGTTCTGTTTACATTTTGTCAAGTAATTTCTTATATATATATATATATATATATTAGAATTCATTGATATTTTTATGTGTTTTGGGGGGAGAGGGTCACACTCAGCCATGGTCAAGGGTTCCTCCTGGCTCTGCACTCAGGTATTACTCTTTGACGGTGCTTGGGGGACTAAATGGGATGCCAGGGATTGAACCTGGGTCTACCATATGCAAGCCAAATGCCCTACCTGCTGTACTATTGCTCTGGCCCTAGAATACACTGATCTTGTCTCTCTTGATATCCTATATTTACTCTGCTATTATAAATTGCATTCCTGCCCTTTAATTCTGTTATTAAGCTCTTTGAACAGATTAAAGCACTAACTCGTTCTTCTAGGCTCTTTGCTATGTGTGATGTCACAGGACATGGTGCTTCCTACTCCAATGCTGGGTGCAGACCTACCCAGGGAAGCTTAGACTGATCACAAAGGACAGGACATTATGGAGGTGCAAAGGCAAGCAAGGCCAGGGGTATGGTGCCACCAGCAGATCAATCTGTACCTGTGAGGCGAGTGCATCAGTAGCCTGATGGTGCTTTCAGACTTCCACATACCCCAAAATTGCTGCTGTGCCTTTGGCCAGACCCAAAAACTTGGGGCCAAGTTTACCAAGAAAGCAAACGGCCAAAAATTAGGTATGTGGAGACACACCCACAAACCACCTCTGGTTCAGCTATATAATTGGAGGTAGGGTCTCTCTGGTTCCTGATCAAACTGCTTAACAGCCATGATCCCAGAAACTCAGAGACAAATCTTGGAACCCAGCAGCTTTTGGCAAAGATGCGTCTGGTCCCCGCAATGGGTTACTGGTGCTGGACCACCCCAGGGGGGAAAGGGTGTTGTACCTCCACCGCTCCCCCTTGGTAGCTTGGTGGCCGCCATCTTCCAGAGGCCATTGGACAGTCAGGTTTCGGCCCACAGTGATGAGACATGTTGGGCCTCACAGGATGGGGCTGGAGCCGGCCCTTTCCTCCCCACCCTAACGAGACCCCAAGTTGCTGCCCACGAATGGTCTCTCTGGTTCCTGATAAAGATGTTTAATGGCTATGATCCCAAAGACTCAGAAACAAATCTTGGAACCCAGTGGCTTTTGGCAGAAATGCGTCCAGTTCCTGCAATAGGTTACCGGCGCCAGGCTACCCCAGGTGGGAATAGGTTTCGTGCCTTGGCCTGTTCCCCCTGATGGCTCGGTGGCCACCATCCTTCAGAGGCCATTGGACAGTCAGATTTGGGCCCGCAGTGACAAGACAACTCCAGGTCTCATGGCTTCACCCCCCGCTTTCCTCCCTGCCCCAACGAGACCCCGAGTTGCCACCCATAAATAGTCTCTCTGGCTTTTTAATGGCCATGATCCCAGAGACTCAGAAACAAATCTCGAAACCCAGCGGCTTTTGGCAGAAATGCATCCGAACCTCACAATCTTATAAGGCAACGAGATTCTTATCCATTTTTAGTTCAACATAGTGAGTCAAAAGTATATAAAACATTGGACACACCTTTTTTCCACTGGAAAATTGGTATTAGGACCAAATCAAGAAAAGGGGGAGCAGCATGTTGGCTCAGATATATTTTTTTATATTAACTTTGGTGACCTTTTATGTACCTTACATGAAACACCTTATATAATAACAACAGGAGACTCATTTTATGTTCTTTCAGGTAATTATTATAACATCAAAAATCTCCTGAATGAAGAAAGTATTCTTCTTCTTACTCAGATAAAAAGATGAAGCAAAGTTAAAAAAATAATAAAAAAGGCAAGCAAGGCAAGATGTTGGTCTTGTTTGTAGGATCTTTTATGTATCGGAGAACAGATTTTCTACCTAGTAACCTGGGTTGGAATGATACTGCAGTGGATAGGGTGCTTGCCTTGTACGCTGCCCACCCAGTTTCAATCCTGGCATCCCATATGGTCCCTCAAGCACTATGGTCCTGGCTCTGAACTCAGGGAGTGATCCCTGAGTTCAGAGCCAGGAGTAACCCCTGAGGTACCAT